CCTTTATCTTGCATCTACCTACCACTTCCGCATTTTATTAAATAACAATAATAATAAAGGGAGAAATGTGGGATCCACATATAAATCAAGTATAAAAATCAAACAAATATTCATATTTGACCTGATTGTTTATAGTTCATAATGCATGATCAAAACCGAAAGTTTCTGTGATGATTGCCCTTGTACTGTTCACCATGTAAGAACTTATTCACTATGTAAGAATTCATTCACCATGTAAGAACTTGTTCGTTATGCTTCAGAAGATTGGAGGCTGAGGAGAATTAGGCTTGAGATGGATTAATGATTGTACATTGAGCATTGACCCCCCTATACAGAATTTTATTGTTGTTAACAACCATTTGATCAATAAATATGAGAGATGCCCTCTCGAAAAAAAAAGAAAAAAAATTGTAAATCAAAACCACAATGAGATATCATCTCATACTTGTCAGGACATATATTATCAAAAAGACAAGGACCTCTTCTGCTGCAGCCTGGTGGAGAGAGAGACCGGACAACTTCTTGTAAGACATAAACAGCTTTCTTAACTTAAAAAAAAAAAAGACAAGGAATAACCACTGTTGGTGAGGCTGTGCAGAAAAGGGAACCCTTGTACACTGTTGGTCAGAATATAAACTGGTACAGCTGCTATGGAAACCAGTACGGAGGCTCCTCAAGAAATTACAAATGGAACTATCATATGATCCAGCAATCCCACTTCCAGGTACACATACATTCATAGGACAACAAAATCACTACCTTGAAGACATACTTGTATTCACATGTGGCATTATCTACCATAGCCAAGATATGGAAAGAACCTAAATGTCTGTTGATGAATAAAATTATAATTTTTAAATTAATTTATCTATTCTACTTGGTGTGTATGTGTCTTGTGATTTTACAAAAGCATTTCTCTAATGATGAATGGTGTTGAACATTTCTTCATGTGCTTGTCATCTATGTATCTTCTTTAGAGAAGTGTCTGTTCAACCTTTGCCCATTTTTTTATTGAGTTGTTTTCTTGTTAGGTTTAAGAAATTTTTTATATATTCTGGTTACAAGTTATTTGTTAAGTATGTGATCTGCAAATATTTTCTCCCAATATGCCTTGTCATTTTTTTTATTTGAGTGTCCTTCATGCAGCAAAGGATTTTATTGATAAAAGTCCAACTTTTTTTTTCCTTTATAGACAGTGCTTTGGGTATATATAAGAACAATTTGACTAACCCAAGGTCACAAATTTTGCCTTGTTTTCCTCAAGAGTGTCCACATTTTTAGATCTATGATCCATCATAGATCATTTTTATATCTTGAAAAGGCTGTCCATTCTCCATCCATCCATTACACCTCTCAATTGGCCATATTTGTGTGGATTTATTTCTGGACTCTATTTAGTTGCATTGGTCTGTATGACCACAAAATTTATAGTCTTGATTGCTATAGCTTTACAAGAAGTCTAAAAAATCGAGTTACATAAATTCTTCAACTTTGCTCCTTATTTGCAAAATTTTTTTGCTATTCTAGTTCCTTTACCTTTCCTTATAATTTTAGAGTCAACTAATTTAGCTAGTTAGAAAAATTCTGCTGGAATTTTTTTCCTGCAACTGTATTAAACGCATAGATCAATTTGAGAAGAATTGACATCTTTACTACATTAAATCTTTTAATCCACGAACACAGTCTGGGTGGTGTTTGATTTCTTTCAGCAGCATTTTGTACTTTTCAGCATACAGAAACTGAAAATATTTTGTTAGATTTATATCTAATTATTTCATTAGTAGGGGGAGGGGAACTGGCGTTTCCAGTTGTTTATTGCTAATGTGAAAATATGATTAAGTCTTCTACATTTACATTTTATCTTGCACCTTGCTAAATTCAATTCTTAGCAGTAAGGCTTTTTTTGTAGATTTCTTGAGGTTTACTATATAGACAATTATGTCCTCTGAAAATAGGGATAATTTTATTTCCCTATTTCAGTAAAATACTAAATAGGATTAGTGAAAACACATAGTCCTGTCTAGTTCCCAATCTTTGGGGTAGGGAAAAATCTTTCACCATGAAGTATGATGTTAGCTCTAGATTTTGTAGATGCCATTTCTCAGTTTCCCTTCTATCCTAGTTTGCTGAATTTTTTTAACATTGATTAAGATATGAAGGCAGCTACATTCTGAAACTTATGAGTACATCCTGTTTGCTGTTTGTAAAAATGCAAAATTTTTTAAGATAGAAAAGCATAGATGAGCAGTGAATGCCATCTCTTGGAGAGACTACTAAGACAATGTCCAATGCTACCATCCCTCCTCTTCACTTTTTCTCTGTCATTCCAGCAATGTAGTCTCTTGATGGGTTGGGGTAGGGGGGCTGAACTGCAGGAGCAGGCAAAACTCAACTGGTCAGAAGCCCCAGCCACTGAGTCTTGTGAAGTTACCCCAAGTCCTCTGGATCATACATGGCAGGCACTTCTACAGACCTCTAGATGGATTGTGCACTCTGCTTGGGGTTCAAAATATGATTTTTCCTCATCTTGGTTGAACTCAATTTTTAGTGCTTTTTTTAAGAACACAGACCTGTTGGATTTATAATGGTGAGATTTTAAAATAATGGATGTTGAATTTTGTGAAGAGCTTTGTTTTGCATCTATTGATAGGCTTAGGAAGTTTTTCATTTAGTCTGTTAATATGGTCAATTAATTTATTTTCAAATGTTGAACCAGTCTTGAATTCCTGGGATAGATGACACTTGGTTACAAAGTTTTTTTCTTTTCATATGTTGCTGGATTCAATTTGCTCATTTCTTTTTTTGAGTATTTTTGCATCTTTGTTCTTGAGGCATATTGATTTGGTTTTCTTTTTTGAACTGTTTTCATCCAGTCTTGGTATCAGGTAATATGGTTTCGTAAAATGAGTTGAGAAGGTTTCCTTTCTCTTCTATCTTTGGGAAGATCCTGTTATTTTTACCTTAAAAGTTTGATAAAATTCACCCATGACTATCTGGGCCTGGAGTTTTCCTCTTTTTTCCCCTTCTTTTTTAGGTTTTTAAATACAAATTCATTTACTAATGACAGGACGACTATTCAGCTTATCTGTTTTTTCCATGGTGAGTTTTGGTAGTTTTGATAGTGGTCCATTTCATCTGAGTTGCTTAATTTTTAGTATATAGTTTGTAGTATTCCCTATTAACCTTTTTAATGTCCTTTGGGTTGGTAGTGATACTTTCTCCTAAAGCAGGTATGTTACAGGAAAGACCTTGTGCAATAAAACAGTAGACAAAGTAGATATAGAACATAACTGCAGCTGAACAGACCTCAAACCTTACTATCATCAATTCCTTCCTGTCTTTCAATTCCCATATCCAGATAACAAGTCCTTTTGATTTGTCCTTACCAATATTTTTTGCAATACCCCCATTCACAACACTGCTTGGCATAGCCCTTAGTATCTCCTAATCTATCTAAATTACTCCACCTGCCACCTAACTAGTCTCACTGCCTTTCCCACTTCAATTCATTCTTTACACTGATGCCAGACTTAACTTCTCAAACCTCCAATCGTCGTACACTACAAGATAAAGGCCCTTCACGTCTGGCTTAGTCTTGCTTTTTGAGTTAGTTTATTTTCCTTAATCAGGTTTTTTTAAAACATGTAGGCTTTGGATGGAGGGATGGGTTATGAATCACCTAAAAATTGAGTATAAAGTATTGTATGAATGTGAATTTTATTTCCAGAGCAAGGCTGTCACTATTATCTGATGTTCAAAGTGAAAAAAATTTTTTTTGCTAAGAAAAGCCTTCAACCTAATCCTTGCCTCTATAATGTATGTTCTTGAAACAGCCTAACAGTTCCCACATCACAAGTGATCACTCCTCTTTCTAGTCACAAAATTTTATTTATCTAGCCTGACCTTCATTTTACAAATAAGGGAACAGGTCTATCATGTAACTTTTGTCTAATGTCGTTCCTGTGAAGTTTGTTTTCTGGGCAACTGAGCTAGTATTTATCAGCTATTTTGTTGGGTCTTTTTATGAGATGTCATATTTCTCCTTGAGATCAGGAACTAAGCCTCAGAGTTCTTTGAAACTCCAATTATGTGCAGTGTCTTACATTAACTGCTCAAACATTTGCTGGGAAAGTGATGATGATAATGACACAGTGAGACAGGGGATTAGTTAATATCGGGTTAAGAGTACATTTTTAAGGAAGCATAAGCACATCTGGGGGCTGCAAAATATTACTAAGCTCTGAGTTTAGACACCTAATAAAATTGAACATTCGAGATTCTGTGTGAGGAAACTCTGAGAAAGAGTTCTTAGGCAGAGGCCAGCTTCCCAGAAACAGGGATGGTTCGACAGCATTCAGAAAGAACTTCTCAAGAAAGCAACTGAAATCGGGGAATGCCCAGGTACTTGGGAAAGAGAAAGAGGGTGATAACAGCACCAGCTTTGGTGTAATTCAATTGAATTCACTGTGTAGATTCAAATTCCAACTCCTGCCCCTGGTCCAAGCTACGTTACTTCAAGCAAATTAACTTTTCTTTCCCTCAGTTTTCTTAGGTGTATCTATCTAACGTTGTTGCAATGATTAAATAATGCCTGTAAAGTGGTTGGGCCAGTGTCTAACTCTTAAAACACTTTCCTTAATTGTTATTATTTTAATGAGAAGGAAGGATTTAGGGAGAGGAGAGGCGTTGCGCTAAAAGGCGTGGTCCTTGTAGAGATGTTGGTTAGGCTGAAAATGCAGCAGACAGTGGGGTGGGGAGACGTGTGCTCCCGAAGGGAGGTAAGGGAAGAGACAGCGCACTTGCACGGTGTGTATCTGCAAGAGGAGACGCTGAGGGATGTCAGACCAAGAACACACCCTTCCGGGTGCAGCAGGTGACGATTACCAAGGCGCTGACGAAAAAGGCCACAATGGCGGAAACCTCGTTTGGGGAGTGGTAGAGCGCAGCCCAGAAGTGACCGAGTAGGAGGGCTCCACAGCTCCGACTGGAACGTCACTTACCGGAAACTGCAGGGGAAACGACCTTCTGGGGCCGGTCTTGGCAGCCCCCGCCCAAGGGTGCTGGAGAACTGGGCGACGAACGCAGCGAGGGAAACGAGTCTCCCGGGAGCCCGCGGCTGCGCGGGGCGGGGCTAGCGGCGGTTTCGGGCGCGCGCGCTGGTTGGCCGCAAACGCCCCGCCCACGGGGCGGAGCCAACAGACCTTTTCCGGCCGCGCCGCCAAACGCCGCGGCGGCATGCGCTTTGACTCGTGCGTCGCCCGGAATCTCACGCTGCATGGCCAAATTCTGTAACTTTTTGTCACCAGATGGCAACGTTTTCCCGAGATTTGTTTGGGATTCCATTTCAAATTCTGTAATAGATTGTCGAAGTCTCCCGGGATTTGTTTTTCAGTAGATTAGTTTGCTCGGATTGGATTCCTCTACAAAATTGAGACATCCATCCAACAATGTTGTTATTTCTCCACGAATTCAGGTCTTTCACTTGTATTCCGCTGAAGTCTTGCAATTTTCTTGGTGTTTTGAACATTTCATTTTAGCTTTACCCTGGCAGTTTTTGTTGCTGTTCTTTTTGCCCTTCTAATAATTGTGCCCTAGAATAATTTGGTTTGGAGTGTGTTGATCTATCCGGTCTCGTCTGCGAACCTTTGTTTTATAATACTCCCGGATTTTGTAGGTAAAAAATCGTCTGTAAATAACAATTTTTATTTCCCCCACGAATCCAGCACTGTATGTAGTCTCAGGGTTAGTTCTTTCCGGGAGTTATTTGGATTGCATTCTACATTTCATGCATGAGCCTTCTGAAGGTTTCTAATAGGTACTTAAAAAAATTAAAGGCACTTCGTTCTTTTCGTAGTTTACTAAGTCATTTTCTGGTTTTTAAAGTCATAAATGGGTATTGAGTATTTCCAAATACTTTCAGTATTAGTCTTCCAGATGATCATTTAGCTTTTCTCCATTACTTTACAATAACAGGTTATTGCTATCTTTTACACATTGGTCACACCGCAAGAACTTTCAGGTATATGTCTAGAAATGGAATTGCAAGGTGGGAAGGATTGCACAGTTTAATCTGATATTGCTAACTTGTTCTCCAGAGCTTGTACCAGTTTACCCTTACACCAATAGCTCTGCATCCATGCCATTCCTTGTTTGTTTTTTCCAGTTTTTTGCTATTACAAACAATGCTGGGTAAACTGCCTTGTATGTGTTTTCATGGCACACATGTGCTAGAGTATCTCTGAATATAAACCTAGTAATGGAGTTGTTAGCTTTGTCTTTGGCTATGCATTTAAAAACAGATAAATGTGCCCTACACAATTAAGATATTTCCTCTTTTAATAGTAAAATCTAACTCATTCATATTGATGTGTTTGGATTTAATTCTAACTTGTTTTTTCTATGTATCATGGTTCCTGTTGTTTCTTTCTCTTTTCTGTCTGTGGTTTCTTTTTCTAGGTTTTTTTTCCTCTAGTGACTTGGAAGTTATATATTCAATTTTTATTCTAGTGGTTACTCTTACTTATATTTTAACTTTATATAGAACTTATAAATTATATATAATTTAAAATTTATATTTTTATATAAACCTGTAGGGTTATCAGTACCTATATGAGGCAGTCTTGCTTGGTGGTTACAAGTGGAGTCTCTGAATCCGCACTGCCTGGAGTCAAGTCCTGGCATTACTACTTAGCTGTGTAACCTAAAGCCAATTATATTACTTCTCAGTGCCTCAGTTGCCTCATCTGTAAAATGGGGATAAAATAACATATACCTCATGAGACTGTTGTAAGGATTAGTGTGTTAATACGTAATTAGTGTAACTAGCACATAGCACATGGATATCTCTGGTTACCAGTTTTTTCATCTATGAAATGAGCATAAATTATCTGCACAGCAGACTTGTTATAAACACTGCATTATTGTATATTTACACTTGAGTTTATACACTGAGCACCTTGTATGCACTTGAATTATAGTTTTTGGCTTCAAGGAGTTTATGATCTAGGGAGGGCACACACGTGCAAACACAATTGCAGTGTCATATAATCTAATACTCTTCCCTTGTCTTCTCTGGTCTCTTCTTACCCATGTTCCACACACAGCAGTTTGTTAGAGCACATTAATCAGCATGCGCCTGCCAAACTCATGTCACCTCTCATTACATTTTACATAAACCACAAACTCCTTGACATGACTTAAACACTAGATTTGGGCCCTGCCTCTATTTCTCACTTCAAGTGCCACTCTCCCTAATGGGCTCCCACCACAGTGGCCTCTTTTCAGTTCCTTAAACCAACTCCTTGGTTCCTCAGTGCCTGCTGCCTAGAATTCTCAGCCCACCTGCTCTTCCCATGCTGACTCATCTTTCAGGTCTTAGATTAGTTTCAGTCAGGTTTAGTTACTAACAAGAGTCTGTGCTGGCTGAGAAAGGGACTTTATTAATACCCTGTAACCCACAGGCTCCAGGAAGACCCAAGGCCAGATGGGGTACAGCCCGGCCAGGCACAATAATCAGACACATAGAGGCTTTGGCAGAAATCCATTGCTATTGCCACTTCTTGACACCAAGACTGCAACCACTACGAGCACAGTCTATGACAGGGATGGGGCGCGCGCAGCTTGGCCTCTGGTACCCTCACCACCCTCACCACTGCATAGCCAGAGATAGGGGCATTTCCTTCTCCATCTTACAAATCTTCTTGAAAAAAAAAGAAAGTGAAATCTTTCCAATTTCTTTCAAGTTGAAGTTTTCTGAATGAGTATGCCTGATTTGGGGGGCTTAGATGACATGCCTGTGCTGCAGAGAGGCCAGTTCTCTCAAAGGGAATTCCTCAGATACGGTAAAGGGGTTCAGAAGTGCTGGGTATTCAGAAAGCAGGTCACGCAAACACTATCATGTTGCCTCAGCATAAGGGCATTCTCTGCCAACCCAAGTACGTAAGTAAGCTCCCCACCCTGGCATCATTATTCTCTCACTTTGCTCTCATTTTCTTCAAGGCACTTACCACAGCTTACATTGTTATTACTCATTTGTTCAAATGCCTTATAAATCCTGGAGCCGGAGTATAGTCTCCATGTGGAGTTTCAGTCAAAGGAATTTAACTCAAATAACCAAAAATAACTTGTAAATGTATTTAAGTCTTTAATATGGGCCTCTTGTAAGAAGAAAGCATTCAAGAGGCTCCAAGTCACTATTTCTAATAGTTCCCACGGGTTTATATTCCCTTTTCTTTTTTCTCTGATTCTTCCTAATCCTTGTGTGGTTTGATTTAGCTTTTCTTCATAAATTTTGCCTCTAGGGCTCTCCCTTCCAGTGTCTTCTGCCTGTCCCCTTATTTTGCATCACAAACATTCAGAAGTGGCCTGAGAGATAGTTCTCTCGCAGGGCACAAGGGAAAGGAGTTGAGAGGCGAAGGCTTTATCAGAGGAGGCCGGGAACATTTCCACTTGTATCATTTTGGTTCACCATTTGTGGCTAACCTCCAGATTATAAATTTTATAAGGACGGGGACAATGTCTGTTCTATTTGCACCTAACACAAAATCTGACAAATACATAGGCAATTAACATATGTTCTTGGAGGCAAATAGTGACTCTGTGGCATCTTACTACACTGATGGACAGTGACTGCAATGGCAGGGGGGACTCGATAATATGGATGAATGTAGTAACTACATTGTTTTTTCATGTGAAACCTTCATAAGAGTGTGTATCAATAATACCTTAATAAAAACAACAAGAAAAAGAAACATACTTTCTGGGGGAAAAAGAAAAGTCCAGCAGCTGAGGTCCAGACAAGGAAGCCCAGAGCAGGGCCTCTTGGCCCAGTCACGGGTGGGGGCGGGGTATGCAATAGTAAGAGCTAGTGTGGGAAGGCCTGGAGGAGGTGAGGGCAAAGCAGAATCTTAACGGGTAGGATTCCCTTGGCAAAGAAAGGGGGTAGGTAGAGTGCTCCAGAGAAGCTCAAGCACAGTTTGTCAAACAGCTGTTTGCGTTATTGCTAAATGCAAAGTAAGAGAACTGTTAGGTAACGCTGAGGGGCAGAGACAGACGTGGAGTCCTTGAATGCCACGCTGTGGAGGCTGGGTTTTGTCCTGTCAGTGATGAAGCTGCAGAAGGTAGGTTGGGAGTTCTTTTCAGATTTTCCTGTAGCCAAAAATGCAGGGCTGCAGTAGGGATAAGTAGCAGGGATAAATTAAATAAATTATTTGGAGGTTGATTTGGCAGTACTGGGTGACTGGATGGGAAAGGGGTGGGAAGAATCTAGAATAGTGCCCAGGCTTCTGGTTGGATGGTGATGTCATTAACTGGGGTAAAATAAACAGGAGTCTTCGGGTGTCAGCAGCAGGGAGAGTGGGATGACTTCTAGTTCAGTTCTGGTGAAGTGGACTTTACGTACCTGTGGGATTTCTAAGTTGAGATGATCAGCAGGTACTTGGGTACGTGAATCTGCAGCTTAAGGCAAAGGCCACAGTGAGAGACACAGGCTGAGGAGGGGGTAGCACGGGAGTGACAGCTCAGGAGTCAGCTGTGGGGTGCCTCGGGGGCGATGCTGCTCAGGGTGGCATTTGGCCTTGCTGACATTTTCCCTTCCCACCTTCCTTGATAGTTTTCTTACCTTTAGCCATTCCTTCTCCCAATACTTTGCAGGCTCCTCTTCCTCCTCCCCTAAAATGTGGTGTTCTCCAGGGATTTCACCACCCGGGTCCCCCTGCTGTGCATCCATCAAAGCTTTATCTCCAGCCCAGAATTCGTAGGTAAGACTAAGACCCACATCTCCAACCACTTTCTAAAGAAAAATGGGTAATTGGCAGTGTGGACTGACTGTCCAAAGGACCACAAAAAAGGTTTATGGCTCTCTGTTTTGTTTACGTGCTTTCAAGACTGACACTTTGAATTGTGACTATTTCTTCTTCCTCTGAGAACATCACATTTGGAGATTAGGGTCAGAATTCAGATCTGTTAATATTCATTAATATGTATCCCACCTCCCATCCTACTTGAATTCTGCACATACATTTCTCAAGGCTATTAACTGCACTTTAGCCTTACTATATTGTTTCTTTCCATCAGGAATTGAAATCAGGCCAAAATGGAAATAAAAACTTAAGTCTTTCTGATACAGAATAAAAATAACTGTTCAGATCATTAAAGAGGAGAAACAGTTTACATGGATCCACTTCCTTAAAACAAAAATCACAACTCTTATTTTGTGACACAGGAGTGCTTTTTACTCGAATACCTTGTCCTGTGATCACTGTTTCAATGATGAAGTATGCAAACCATGCCACGACTTACACTTTTTATGTAGAGAAGTTGGTTAAAACACAAAACCAGATTCATCTTAAAATGTTGTTCACATCAACTACTTAAAACTATTTACAATAGGACTTTCAGCTCCCAAGGAGTTACATGGGTGACCTTGGATTTGATGAGAAACATTGAAAGTGCACACACAGAACTACCTGGGTCTGGCTGTGTGGTCTAGAGAAAGGCTTCCTGAGTCTGTCTGAGGCGATGTGTCGACCATCCACCTACCAAAGTTCACCAGCAGCTACAATGTAGTTCTTCAGTACATGTCTGTTGTTAACTTCTTTCTTGGAATTGGTCCCTTTGGGATGATTTCTGCAGTATGAGTCTTTAGCATCTTGAAAATTTCACAGATTAATAAAGCTCTAATTATTCCAGAAGTCACTGGTATAAATCATGCTTCCTCTATCAAGTTAACTGTACAAAAAGTTGTAAAGTGCATGGTCACCACCCAAGGGAGCTGCCCTCAGTGGCCCTCCACCCTTAGCACCTGTCCTCCCACACTCAAATGAGCCAGCCTGAGTGTAATGCTCAGCTGCATAAGAATGAATTAGGACTGAGGAAAACTGGGTATTTTTTGTTAAGCGCAGGCTTATCAAGAGTCTGAAGGACTTATTTCAGTTTGTACACACAAGGCCCACACAGACAGATGCATAAGCACATAATCATTTGTATTCTTCACAAAGTACTCAGGACTTTGACGAGAAAAGTCACAAGTCTATGTAAATGCCCATTCTTATACCAGTTTATGAACTTAAAAGCTTTCTCAAGAAGACTAGGAGATACTGACTTTAGCATTCAGTTTTTGGTCAGAGTACTTTTGACACTCATAGGAAATGATAATGGTACTCTTCCCCTAAGTTTTAAATTCCTCTTATCCACTTATGACATTTCTTCATCATATACTAGATTCTGCCCATCTTCACATTAATTTATTATAACCAAATACCTATAAGCTATTTGTGTGTGTGTGTGTGTGTGTGTATATATATTAAGTTAAACTGTATGAAACTGCTAATATTCAACTATTTTTGACCTATGAAAAGTTTTTTTACATGGTTGAATCTAATAAAATCTAAACTTCAAAAGGATAAAAATGCTTACTCTATTCACCAGTTCTTATGCAGCTTTGCAAAATTGTGCTTGCTATTAGTGAATCTCATGAAAAATTCTGAGGTGCACTAATTTCCATAAATTTCGAATTTGACCAAAAAAAGTGTAGTTCAAACTAGGCATACTGTCTTTATAGGCACACCACCCATCTACTTAACTGGAAAAGTATACACGAAAAGATGGCTTTTACAGGCTTGTGATCAGGTTTAGAATCAGTGGGCAAATCGGAAAATACGAAAGCATTTTCAATTGGGAATTCTATTTCTGTGTCCTCTGTCACATTTTACACTGTAGACTGCCTACCCTGAGACCCCATGCTAAGCACCAATAAAAGAGAGATGCCCCAGACCTGTCTCTTAAGAAACTTAACAACTTCTAAGAGATATAAAAATATAAATAACAAGCTGATATCCTAAGTTTAAAGTTTTAAACTAAGACAGAGTAACAAGTAAAAAGAAGACAGCACTTGAGAGTTCTACACTGACTTCAAACTTTAAAGGCAAAAAGCCAAATACAAATGTGCACTGAGTCTAAATTCAGTCAATATGATAATCAAAACTGTCCTCCTCTATGGTTCTGAATCCAAGAAGTCCTTCTATCACCCCAGAAACAGTGACTAGAGATCCTCCAGGTCAGTTAAGTCCACAGCCACTTTCAGGAACAGGGTGTCATCTTTAATGTAGGTGTTCTTGGCATTCTCCAATGTGGAATGAGCCACGAAGCGGGGACAGCCAGAGGCTATGTTCATCTCCCCATCGGGTCTTTTAAAGCTGCTGCTGTTGGGGTCAGCCTTGAAGGTCTCCATAATGTGGTTCTTTTTGCCACTCTGGTCCAAAAGCATTAGGGTCACCCTCTGTCTGAACGGCCACTGCAGCAAGGAGTCAAACTCCCCTCGCATCACCACGAAGTACAGTGACAGGTGTGTCCCCTTCCCAGACCCGTCCCCATTCAGGTACGCTCTAGCACAGAGGCGGTAGCCACACCGGCTGGTGTAGAAGGGCTGGCTGAAGATGGACACTGTGTGCCCGTCCAGCGCCTCCCTCTTCTTCATCCTGTAGTCTGTCACCTTCCAGATGAGCTTGCCATTGTAGCAGGCACCTTCGAGCAGTTTAAATCGCTCTTCGTTTTTATTCAGCTGTGCTTTATGAAGGTGGATGTGGGCATCATGTTTGTTAGTCTCCCCTTCCAAAACAACTGCAAAGAATAAAAAGATTCTGCAGCCTTAAAGGGGTCTTTAGAATTCGCCTGAAGTGGAATTTTGTTACCTGAAGAGAACCAATAAAATTCTGACAGCTTCAAGATGAGTGAATTCCCTATCCACCAATGGACCACTTGCATTAATACTATCAACTCAGCGAATCTCATATCTTGGCAGGAGTGGTACACTGAATGTGTACTACTGAACTCAAGTGTGCAGGGAAGTCACGCTTAGCATTCAGCTGGCATGCATTAGCATGGTGAGCCCCACCGTTTTCTAACTAGAATGCTTTTAAACAGCTAAACCCTCTTCTATTTTCTATACTTCAAACAATGTTCCCACCATCTCTCTCTCTCTCTCAGGCTTCTCATTTATTTTCCACTCTCCTTACAAACCATCATTCGCTCTTGGAATTTCCTGGCTGTTTCCACCCCCCGCCTGCTCCAGCCCCGGCTCATGGCCCTCCCGTCATTTTCCCCGAGTGGCCAGAATCTCCTGCTGTTTTATTTCATAGACACCAGACTCAATCACTGTTTATCCTGGACAGTTGTGACTCTCCATTTGTATTATTTAAGGAACACATACAGACAAATGAGTCACCAAAAGAGAAGTAAAATATCAGACATACCTAATCTTTGATCATTGGTTTCCAGCAGGGTAATTTTTTGTTTCACTGTATCAATCGCTTCCACCAGAGGCCTCAGATCAAATTTATTTTGTTGCTGGTTAGCCATTTGTAATAACTGACGCACTTGAGCTTCTAGCCAAGCTGACTTGTCAATGTGACTGGCAAGAACCTTTCAGTATGAAGTGGATGATAAAAAAAAAATTTTTTTTAGTATCTTAGTAACTCATTGAGATTAAATTTTTTCAATTCAAATGGTTTACATTTAATCAATTAATGAAATGGCACATGCATAGTCTAGAAGAGAAAATTCAGTAAGAATCACAGAGACGAGCCACCTAATATCTTCTTCCTCTCCTCCTCCTCCTTGTCTCAGCTCCTCTTCCAAATCTTTCAGCTTCTCTTTATCTGATTTTTACTCCTCCCTCAATTTCTCTCTACTTGTTCTCTAACCTGTCTTTATCTCTCAGTTCACACGTTGTCTCTCCTTTTGCCTTATCATTTCCTTCTCTTCTTGGAAGCTACTCTCTGGATTCCCTCCTTCTCTGCTCGAAGGCAGAGAATGAGCTGGAAGAAGGCCCATCTGTTCTGGCCTGAGCACTGCAGGTGGTGCAGAAGTGCTCTCAGGTAAGAAGGCCTGATTTTCAATTGCTCTCTTTACATGTAAGGTGTTATATAAAACTACAGCTCTATTTCTCCCCCACTCTTGCCCTCAGTACCTTAATTCTGACTAGTTTTGTGTAAGAAAAAGATCAGAATTGAAAGAGTAATAACATATGTTGGATTTCCTTTTTTCTACACACACACACACACATATAGTGTGCTGACAAAGTATTGAAATTATCTGGCCTGCATTTTCTGGCATAATCCAAATTTCAAAACTATTGCCTATACCACATCTTGAAATCTTTTTTACTATAAATTTTATAATCACAATAAAAAACCCATTAGGAGTTTGCTTATCGTTACTTAACATTCATGATGTACGTGGTAATTTTTGCAATAGTTGGTTTAAAGCATTTTCTTCCTAAGGGAATTAATAGCTTCACTTTGTTGTCTGAAAAATACAGAACTACAGATGTTCTAACTCCGAAATAAGTGACACATTAACTAAAACACTAAGTGCCAAAAATTATATAAAAGTATTATATCAATGTCATATTTACTGACATTGCTAAATGTACTGGGGTTATGTAAAAGAAGACCTTTATTCTTGCAAAATACATACTGAACC